CACGCATGCAAAAACTCACACACGCACACCCGCACACCCGCACATACGCACGCACGCAGGCACGCACGCACACACGCACACACGCACACACGCACGCACACGCGTACGCGCACGCACACGCACGCGCACGCGCACGGCGCGAGCGCGCGCACGCGCACGCCCACGCCCACGCCCACGCGCACGCACACGCACACGCACACGCGCACGAACACGCACACGCGCACGCGCACGCCACGCACACGCACACGCACGCGCACGCGCACACGCACACACACAACCTCCCACCCACCAGACCACCCACCCACCCACGCACACACGCACGCACGTATGCAAAGACGCCCGCCCTCATACACGCGCACAAGCTGTTCAACCGGATCTATGTTTTTTTCTTCCCATTGCGGGGTGTTGTTCATTCACACATCCACATTTTATGAGTTGGAGCCCCTTTTGGGAATTCGATGCTGAAGGAAAAGCTACCGTGGATGGACAAAAACCACAAAGCTCACCGGTGGATGGATGACATTCTGTAAATTTTGGTTGATCTCAATCCCAACTGGCCAACTGGTCTAGGATTTTCTCCATCAGTACCAACGCTTTGCTTTTGCGGGAAGGGTGGTGGGACGGCGTGTACGTAAGGTTCATCGCCCGTGAGCTAGGCCCATGCGTGTCGGGGGCCGTAGCTTCCCTGCTTCCATTTACGCAGGACGCTCTCAAAAGCACAAGCAAAACCCACATGATGGGGTTACCAGAACGTGTGTAGCATTTTCCAACACACCACCGTCACACTGCATGTTACCATCAGGAGAACCACCGTCAGACTGCATCTTGCAAGGCAGAACGAGTCACGGTTTTGTGAGACCGCTCAGGAGATCGCTGACGGCATGAACTACTGGGATCTGGAAGGGTCCTCAGCTTGCGACAACTTGGCAAGTTTAAATGGCCAACTCTGCCCACTGGTAGTCTCTTAGTATCAATACATACTACTTAAGAAGCATATATGAATAGCGTCCCAAGGCTCCCCTCGGTTTTCTGAGGGAAATGTACCACTGGTCACTGCAGGTGTAGAAACGCATTCTTTACATTTGAATGGTGGCAGAACATTGAAAGTGCTGAACTTACCTGCCTAATAAGGGCTGTCCGAAGTTTAATGATGGTGTAGTATTGGGTCTGAAAGTAGCGGGAGCGAGGTGACTTTTTGGATTTTGGCCTCAACAACACTTATTACTTGGGGTGGATGTATTCTTGAATGGGGGGAGGTGATAAACGTCCCAAGCAAGACTCATGCCCAGTTGAGAACTATTGCCAGGGTGGTTGGCAGGAGAGCACCCTTGGAACCCCAGCTGCGTTCTGAGGTGCACATTTTGCAGGCCTTCACAGAAGCTGGCGTGCGGCACCAAAAGGCAAGTGTCTCACGATGTGTTTGGCCATGGCTTTTGCTGACTGGAGAAAGCTTTACCGAGTACTGGACCGCGTGTTGGGAGTGCAACCGTGGAGCTGTGTACCGCTCTTTTGGCACTTGAACCTTACGGTTTCTATCTGAAAAAAAAACACTCTATTGTGGCCCAGTTTGCCCGATTTTAAGGAATACCTTAGGGAGATTGTTAGATACCAGGGGTTCAAACACGGAAATGCGGTTGTTTAAACAGTTTGGCGGTTTACCGCGGCTTAAAGAGGTTGAATCGCCCAAGCAGCTTGATTCGACATCCCAAACGACTGAGGTGTCAAATCGGGACTTGTTCTTGCGACTCGCAGATGCCTTGACTGCTCTCTCCTCAGCACCGAGCGCAGCCTGTGAAGTGGGTTGGAAAATGTCGGTTTGTCTCAGGATAGGGAATCCCCCAGAAATGCTTGGGCTTGTTTCTGGCTTCTGCAAATAACACCAACCCTCAAAAAGGACCCCCCCATTTCGAAATAGTCACCATGAAAGTGAGAAGTCGTTTTGGACTGGGAATCCCCACCAAAAAAAACGGAACCAGAAGGAGGATTGTGAATGACTCCCAGAGTACATCGACGCAATGCCCATCACATGTGAATGAGGTCTGTTCAAGAAGCGTTTCGAATTGGGTTTGGCCAGGTGGACGAGGTTGATCCGCATCAAACCTAGAGCAGGGGGGTGCTGTTCGGAACAGGGTTTTTCCAGTTCAAGGAAATACCACATCTACTTTATGAAGGGTTCCTCGCTGCAATCCACATCAGGGCAGAAACAAAGCAATTTGAAATCCGTTGGATTCGCGGAGGAGAATCATGTGAAGCAAAGTGAAAGGCCGGGGACTTGAGGCCAAGACTGCCAAGATGGCCCCCAAGCACGTCCTAGATTTGCTCGCCGTCTATGAGGCTGCATGCAGACAATCCATTTGGGTTGTCACAGGCTGGTTCCCTCTCGCACGCTCGTCTGCCTTGTGCCGCCATGTTAAAAGAAGGGTCCCGAAAATTCACCCCCCCCCCCATTTGGTTAGAAGCTGCGCTGGCGGAGTGTGCTGAGCGTATGAAGCACCATGGACATGTTGCCGTTTTCACTCGAGCATTTTGCAAGTTCCGGCCTTCGAGCTTGTGTTACAGGCATGACAAATTGCTCGAAAGGTCTAATAGACTTAAATGAGTTGCACATAGCTTCTGTCCTGGCTCACTTGAGCCTGAAGAAGATCATCGCCTTAAGGCAGTGCTGCCGTTTCATTCACCAACTAGTTTGCGGCGGAGCAACGTCTTTCAGCAGGCTGTTAATCAGCGAATGTGTGGGAACCTTTTTTGCGAGAGCGGACTCTGACAGGTCTTTACTATCCAACCAGCTTGCGTCCAACCTCTTTCAGTGGGCCCACATTCGCGAGATACCGGTCGTGCAGACGCTTCGGCTGGAAAGCGACGGTCGGAAAAGCCCTTCCAGTTTGACCCAGCGATACATGAAGCTCGAGGGAGAGCTGGCCCGCATGATGACTTGTACAAACTTAGGGCATACCCTATTTTCCTGCAGCGATGCCGATCACAGAGTGTTGCATCAGTTCATCGCTCGCATAGGGGATATGACGACCTGGGATGTTTGCTACTACGACGTGCTTCTTTCTCAGCGAAAGAAGCAGGTTTGGATCTGCCAGAAGTATGGAGCAACCGTGTGCATCGAGACTTCAAGGGGAAATTTGACACTGAGCTTTCGAGCAACCTATGAGCTAACGGAGGTGGTGGAGGAGCGAGAGGTACACTGCTCGGTGGTCTTCCCGGATGAAGCCTCGAGCTTCACTTTGCTGCGCTCAAGATCTGAACGTTGGATTGAAGAAAGCAAATATGCGACCCAGGACACAGAGGGGCACAATGGCACCTATAGCACATGGGAAAGAATGCGGAGCTGTTTGTTGGATGGCACCACCCTGGATCTTTCTGTGGTTGTGGCACTTGTTTTCCGATTGGTCAGCGCTCCAACAGCAGCATGGAGTGAAGACAATTGGAGGTGCCTGCAGGACCAGAAGGTGGTCAGCGGCCTGGGCCGCATCAACTGTGAAGACCGACCCACTCTACAATGGCTTCAGGAAGAATTTTTTGAAGTGGCGCGCAGCTTAGGTCTCAGTCCCAGTATGGGACTTTGCCTGGACAAGCGGGAGACTTTCCACCAGCTTTCGCGCTTTCTGTCCTAGCTTCGGTCCGTGACTCCGAGATTTTCTGCGCCAAAGTAGATACGCTTTTCCCATGGCGTCTTGTGAAGCCACAAGATGTGAGCAGAAGGCCTGCTGAAATTGCCCCTGCCATCTTGTCAAGATGTGAGGCTGCTCGAAAGACAGCCAAGGGGTGGCCATGCGTTAACGAGCTGCTCGCAAAGACAGCTAGATAATCTCAGCGCACTGCTGGCAACTCATCCGATAATTCACAGTTTAGTCGAACCGACTTTGTTTCTGTTTGTCCTTCCAACAATGTTGAGTGGACAACATTCGTTGAAAAGGTTTCGCTGCTTGCCACTTGGCCGTATGCCTATGTCTCGCATTTGGCCGGGCAGGCTTGAGAGCCGATTAATAAGACAAAGACAAACAAACGTCAATGTCTTTTATCTCCAGTACAGTTGTGCAGCAGCAATGCGCAATCAAGCTTGCGCATGCTGACAGGCCATCTATGGACCGAAGGTCTAGGAAGATGCTCAGGGCACACTCCCAGGCTGCCTTTTCATGAAAGCCGCGAAGAGTCGAAAGCAACATGAACTACACAATTGGCATTGCTTGAGAGTGAGTGCGTGTCTTGACTAACATGTCTCGACAGCAATTATTCTTCACCGGAGAGTCGCCCACACAATTGGGCAAGCTTGCTCTTCGCACTTCGCTCTTCGCACAGTGCTCAAAACAGAATCCAACAAGCGCATAATCTGGGAGTCAGCATTGTTCTTGCCTTCGGACTGTCGCACCCGGAAGTACCTTGATGGGAGAGGAAGAAGGAGTGGCTTTGGACGTGTTCTGCCGATCCGTCAGTTGAACGTGACGAGAATGGTTTCTTCTGGTCGAGCTGCTTTCTTCAAGTGGTTGGTTTTAGGAGGGAAACCAGAAGGATGCCATTTTTTGGGTTTCGACTGATTCGACTTGCAGACATAGCTTGGTGTTTGCCCAAATACAAAACCCCTAGATTTTGGTCAAACTGTCGCTTCAATTCGGAACATGCGGGACGAGCGAGCAAAGCTGGGGACGAGGCTCAAGGAATTTTGACCGTCGCTCATGAGCGGTTCTATTAATTGGAGAGGGTGCCGCCTTCGTTCTGTTGGGAAGGGGGGAGGGGGTGGCGTTTTTTAGGGAATCCATCATTGGAAGTTCAGTGATTCAGGTGGGTAAAGTCAGTGAGGCGTAGGTGAACGCTACTCAAAGTTCGGAGTCCCAAGCCCCGTTTCAACAAGTGACACCCACCCCCCAGCCCCCCAGCCCCGCAGGCGGCCGATCTGCGCCCAAGAGCCCTCTATGTGGAGCTCTTGCACGCGGTGCTGCGCCTGTCCAGGCGTGGCAGAAATGCGACGTGGGACATGGGCGATACCACGTGGAGAGTCCAAGAGAGTCGATGGCTGGAGGTGATGTGCATAAGCAACCAGGAACTCGTGAGGGTTGTGGATTTGACGGAAAACATATGTAGGGGTCCAAGTCCAATCTTTGGGCGCAGCCATGGGTAAAAGGGGACCAAACATGCGTGGCCATCTCTTGGTGTCTCTTTCTTCCATCCAAACAGGGGGTGTACTTTTCTGGAAAGTACTGGCTCACATGTTGAGGTGTGGTTGTTTGCACCACCATTGAGAATTTTCGGGCTGTTCCCCAGATCCGGACCCGGGTGGTGGGTTCGTAGTTCATAAGCCCACAGCCTACGAACCAACCAAGGATTTCTTGGTTGGTTGCTAGGTAGGTTTGCGGGGCTTTCACCTATTTCAGGAAGGTTGGCTAGGTTGGCTTTTGGAATTTGACGCTCGCAAGCAACACCACCCCCACCAAATCCCTCAAGGCTCCAGGTAGGCTTGGGGCCTCAGGTTTGGATTAAATGTGAAGGTTTGGCTACTGATCTTTTTTGGTTTCCGTCCTTTGGTAAACTTTGCCTGTTTTGGTAAACTGGAGACTTGTGGCTAGCTTTTGGCACGGTGTTGGTGAAAGTTTTCTGCACTTTCGATGCCGTCCATGCCTTTCGTTCACTTGTTGCTTCCGTTGAAACAACCCCAACATGGTGCCCCCCTTCCGTCCCTCGACTTGAATTGCTTTGCTGAAGCTCACAGAGGTTGGTCTTGGTTTCCCTTCTCTGGACCTCGAAGTGGTATTTGCTCACAAGATCGCCAATTTTCGGGGGAAAATTCCCAGTGACTCCCCCGTATTTCCCTTATATCTAAATGGACGATCAGGGGACCCCAAGGTAAACGGGTTCTAAGGTAAACGGGGGTTCTAGCTTTCGCCGCATACGAACCGCGGTGTACCCGTGCCCGCTTGAGGTCCATGTACGCAGAGGAGCTCACGCTGACACTGCAGGCCTTGGCGCGGTATAATCTGGGCAACCCAACGGCCAGGGCCTCGAAAAGGCGTTGATTCGCGTGGGAGTGGACCCAGGCGTTGGTCCCCTTGAAGGGAACCACCAGTTGCCTATCTCACCAGCAAGCAGCATGAGCATCTCGCTTCTGTCCGTCTCATGAGGTCGTGTCTCAGCTGATGCGCACGGTGCGGAACGAGATCAAAGAATTCAGGCCAGGTGCGACCGCAAAGGAGTAGGTGTGGAAACTGTAGATTTATCCTGAGGACACTACAAAGTAACAGGAATCCCCTAAAATAGTTCCTTCTCTCTACTCAACAGGCACTGCTAAGTATGGTCCTCCTGACTAATTCAATGTTGATATTATGTTTGGAGCACGGGATGCCTCTGTTTGTTTCCTCGCGGCTGAGCGACAGATGGGGTCCAAGTGCCAGCCTTTGTGTTGGCGGTTCCATGCCGGTTCATTCTTAGGGAGCAAACGATGTCCGTGCTCACCATTTTGCTTCTGCCTCCTTTTCGAACATAGCGCAACGGACAAGTTACTAAGTAGTTGTCCCCTGTGCTTCCTCGACTATTCTTTAAATAGCCTCGACCATTTAAAAAACGAAAGGCTATAAAAGTAATGTCCCTCGACCATTAAAAGTATATACCTAGGGCTTCAAGAACCTGTAAAAATGTCGTACCCTGACTAAAACATCGTGTTTTTTCTCGATTTTCTGAAAACATCGTGTTTTCAGGAAAAACATCGTGTTTTTGATAAAACCCATTAAAAATGGGCTTCTGAGGCCAAACACTCATTTGGAGCAAAGGGTCAAAGGCAAGGGTCGGGAGTGGATTCACACAGACATCACCCATTAAGATTTCAACTGAGGGCAACGCTCTATACTGAGTATGCTTCAAATTCTAAGGACCACATTGATGAGCCTGACAGCCAGGGTGTGCAGCTGGCTTCAGTCTTGAAGTACCTTTCACAGCAACAGGCACCTGAAGACTGGCGCCAGGTCATACCGAACCAGTTTGAAGGGGGTGCTGGAATCCGAAAGCTCCTTTTGGTGCAAAACAAGACCAGGTGACACTTTTGAGATTGTTTTTTTTTATCAATTTTGAGTTTTTTTAGAAAATGGGGCGGGATCCTGGCGGCTAACCGCAGAAACCCGTAGGAAACCCGTAGAAACCCATAGAAAACCCGTAGAAACCCATAGAAAGCCCTCAGCCCCAACCGAAAACATCGTGTTTTTGGAAAACATCGTGTTTTCTAACCCGTAGCTAAACCGTGGAGAACCCGTAGTAAAGCGTGGCAAAGCGTGGAAATTCTATGGGTTTTTCGGGTTCAACCACGAATGCGCTAATTCGAGAATGTTGCTGGAAAACAACGAAGTCGTGAGCAAAAGCATGGTCTTTGCTTGAGCTTGCGCTGTTCGAAGCCAGCACGCCCTCATCATGGCATTGCTGCTTGACAAGTGTCATAAAACCGTGGTATTTTTGACTATTTGGGTCCCCGGCCTCCTTCTTTCAGATTGGAGTTGCGAAAGACGAGTGGCGAATGCGAAGCTGATTTCGTTACGAGTGCAAAAGGGGAGGGCGATGGGAGATTCTGAGGTTGAGATGATGCTTTTGAGATCTTTTGAGAACGGATGGCGAGTTGAAGGAATGTATGGGAAACTGCTTGAAATCGAAAATGCGGTGTTTTCCGAAAACATTGTGTTTTCCAAAAAAACATCGTGTTTTTTGTAGGTATGACATTTTCATCGGTTTTTGAGGCTCCTGGTAGGTCTAGACAAACTTGGCCAACTCGAGACGGCTGGCTCCTGACATCCCCGCGCGCTTCTGCGCAGCGAGAGGTTGAAGAACTTGATTGCTGCCTTTAGCTAAGTATGTTTTACTGTCGCTTCATCCCGTTGTAATCACACGCCGTCACCATGCTGTGTCAATTTGGCTTGTCCCTCACATGCCCGTGCGTGCTTTTCCACCTCTTGTCCACAGCTCCACAGAGTCTGATCGCGTGTTGTGCGTTGATTGTTTAATCGATTTCGAAAGAAAATGAGGCGTGGACAAACCATGGACAAACCATGGACAAACCGTGGAAAGTACGTTTTTTAGCGTGGAAAGTACATTTAAAAGCGTGGAAAGTACGTTTAAAAGCGTGGACAACCGCCCACAACGCATGCCTGATCGGCAGCGATGCCCCGAAGCCACTAAGCTTGCAGCATTGTCAACAAAACCGGATCAGTACCAACATGCGAAGAATCTATGCACGCCTCTACAGTCGGTACACCTGGCGATTTTATAAAGTGATGCGACCATACATTTGGATAGCCGGGGAATGGGTGGCTTGGGCGCAGTCATTTGCAGCTGGGAGGATGAGGCAGCATGACTTTCAGTGACCTGACCCTAAGCAATTATTGGGCAACAAAAACATGATTTTTGGGATATTCAGGGCCAGGCGCAAAAAACGGTCTTTCGGCAAAAAACAGTCTAGCGACCTCGACCATTCTTTTAATGGCCTTTGGAAGCCTAGGGTGTCTGTTTCTGTAAGCACTTGTGGCCCGAGACCTTCGTGCTTCTCCGCCCGAATCTGGGGCGTGGCATGATGGGACCACACATGAGCACCGCTTGAAAAAACATGTGACAACAACTTAGTTTTGGGGTGCCCAAATGGAGTTCCACGGAAGGATTTGTGCAGAGCCCCGAAGCTCGCGGAAGCTTGCGAGGAGCATACAGTGCACAGTTTGTCTTCGCAGACTGCCGCAACTCCGACACGCCCACGGTGCGGATTCCGCGGAAGCAAAGCTGGTCGCTGCTCACCGGATCTACAGAATGTGGTACGGCACATGATTGGCTTGAACACGGTGTTGAAAATGGTCGAATAGGAGCCCGAGCTGGCAACTTTAATGTCTATGAGTTTGCGATGTGACGAATCGGGACAACCCCACGCGCTGGTGCTTCCTCAACCCTCAGTCCTACGAGGAGATGCTCGCCACGATTCGTTCTTGGCAATTATGGGCGCAAACACATCGACGAAGCAGGGCCGCAATCGGGACACTTTTGCAGTTTTTTGTTTTTTTTTTTGTTTTTTTGCGTTGCGGCGCCGTCGCCTGAAGATGAGGGTGTGATTTGCAGGCATGGCATATGGCGCAGAATAGTATGATGGTTTTTCCGTGGTGGACTGGGGACAAGCCACCCACGAATCTTCCCCCGAGTTGGGTGACTGTGGTGTGAAGGCTGCCGGGTGAAGGTGCGGTTGCAGCACATGTGGCCAATTATCACTTCAATGTTGAAGGCCATTGTGTCGCACATTGAGTCGGATGATACAGAGGCCGCAGTGACAAGCGCATATTAGCCGTGCGGTGAAGCGAATCAGTAGTGTGGCGACGCCACTGATCTATGCGCAATAGAAACGGTTCGCCGGCGGCCACGTAGCGGGATTGCCTTTTGGACCTTTTTCGTAGGGCGTGCGACGCACATGTTCTGCAGTGTCCTTGTAGCGCACGGTGCTCAGTGCCTGTTCTCGGGCCCTTTGGTTAGTCAAACAGAACATCCTGCCAGCGTCACGCGATATCGCTGGGCACTGCGCAGCACAGATGGCAAGGCGAATCCAAAAATATACTTTGCTGCTCGGGGACATTGGCATGGGGGGGATGTTCCCATGCTCTCTTGAGGAGTTGTGGATAAGCCTTGTACCTGTATCAAATATGGCGCACTGCGGTTTTGCCATGGAACATGCCCGTTTGCAAGGGAACCTCGATTGGGAGGTTTTTTTTGGGGGCCTGGTTTTTCTTGTGGTTTTCTCTTAAGCCACAAAAAAGGCACCCTCAAAAAGAGACACACCCATTTGGGTCGCAGATGGCCACAGGCTTCGGTATCTCTGCGCCAGCGCCGGCGCGCTGGGCGCTCTTCACGCATGCCGCAACCCAAGACATGGTCTCTGATGTTTGAGACCCAGAACAGGTGGACAAAACATGCTCCACTCGAACGAGCCCGAAGGAAACCCTTCCAAGTTCATTTACGCCAGACACCAACTTGTCAACTTTGGGTTTGTTTCAGTGAGCCCCCACAAGCTGTACAGAAACCGGCTGATTTCATCTTGTGGCTACCTCTGACTTCCCTTGAAGACAGCCCCAACCAAACACAAACTTCTCAACTTTTGAAGAATGTGCGCCGAATAAGTTGAGCTTCTATGTTCAACGGTTTTTTGCCCGGTCAGTTTGCCTTGAGCGCTATCAACTCAAAGGCCCACCCATGGTGGTCCGGCAATGCAGCTGTAGTTTTTGTCTGCCAAGCGCAAAGCCATCTAATAGAAAGGCGACGAAAGAGCAGCACACATGCTCCTTCCAGGAGCCGCTGCCTGTGCACCAACTAGCGCCCGAAGCAGGGGCGAAGGCAACCAATCCAGGGCGAAGTTCTTGGCCGCCTCACAAATCACCCCCCCCTCACGCACTGCAGGATTCGTGACCACGTGCGCAATGGCCATGGTCTCCCCCAGAACAATTGCCAAAATGCTGCTGCCGAAAGCGAAAGGTCAGAGATGCTGAGCCGGAAGCGGATCCTTCCAGAACGAGCAGCATGCCCGAGATGAAGCACAAGGGCGTCGGTAGCATGCCTTCCTGCTTTGCTATGATGTCTGCAAATCCTGATGGCTAATTCTGGATGTCTCGCGTTGTTTGTGCTTGCTCCGCATCACACTGCTCTGGCAAAGCAAACTCTCCTTTCTGGACTCCGCCCCACTGTCCTTACTGAGGACAACTTTCATCAGTAACATAAAGATGTCCGAGGCAATGACCATGGGGAGCAACCCAGCACAGAGAGTTTGGCTTGTGCCAAAAACAGTGTTGAACAAGTACGGGTAAAGGTAGATCGGCCGGCACGAAGTGAAAATAGGAGAGTCATGGGGCCGGCTTGTGCCAAATAAATCTCCTGGATGTTCCAACAGGAAATCGATGGGGCTGTTGTGTTTTTTGTTTTTTTTGTTTTATCAGAGCCTCTATTCCGCGCACCCGGTGACACCGAACGTAACATGCTGCCGACAAAGACGAGCTTGCCCAACTGTAAGTGGTGGCAAGACGGATGCTTGCAGCTGGCCTTTCTGAGCTTGAGTTGTGCTTGCTGCATGCTGGATAACTCCAATGCCTGTTGATGAGTCTTTCACAGGCTTGGGTCCAATCTGAGACACGCCGGGTGCAATATGGGTGTGGGTTAAAATTAAACCACTAGGGGACCGCAGGGGACCGCAGGTTTTGGTCCATGTTTCTATTTACCAGGGTTCATTTTTGGGTACCTATTTTTGACCCACACTCATATGTGGAAGGGTAATCCCAACGTCTTGACGGGCGCAGCCATGCAGCTTGGGAGGTCCATGACATGCGCTGAGGCCCTCAAGAACTCTTAGACGTCCTCGATCAGCGAGCACGCTTTGAGGCTGGTGTTCGGCATTTGAGTTGAAGCTTCATTGGGAGCCCCATTAAATTGAAAATGGTTGGTGGGCATACATTCAACTGGAATCCACAAACAATGGTTCCTACCCTACGAAGCAAACCAACGTTTCAATAAAATGGGCATACGTTCAACTGGAATCCACCAAGAATGGTTCCTACCACACGCAACAAACCAACGTTGTAATAAAAAATAACTTGGATGGGCTTCAGGTGGATACGATCAGCGTCCAAGAGCTTCTGGACAACATCCAGGCTGCTGGGAATGCACCAATGGATCTCAGCGAGGGGATGGGGAATGCTTCGGGGTTCCACCAGACACTCAAATTAAGGGACAAAATCTTGGGAGCGCAGGAGTTGCCACAAGTTTCCGGGTCTTGAACAATTCCCCGGACGTTGCCTTGGGACAGGTTGGCTCTTAGATAGTCAGGTTTTGTCCTTCGGGGATCCATCAAACCGGGTGTGTCTTTTGTGCCCTAAGCTATGGTGGGTGACATGCTCGGGAAACCCGCTCCATCATTGGGGGCATGGAAGGCGACGTATGGCCATTCCTGTGCTTGGAATCTTCTCAAAGGACCCTAAAAAACGGATTGTATAGTTTTATTGCCAAGTGATGCTGCCCCCCCACCCCCCCCTCTGGGGAAATGCCCCGAAAAGTCCAAAATCACAGGGTGGTTCTACATCTGGACATAAAAATCCCCACTGCTGCGAATCCCCAGAAATATATACAAGGATCCTCAGACTGCACTGCTTATCCCACTGTTCTACAAACCTAGTAACCCCCTCACGGAGAAATGCAATCCTCACACGTCGGACCCCCCGCGAAGATTTAATTCCATTTCTGGCCTGGAAGCTTACATTGGGGAACAACCCATTGGAGAGGGAGTCCGGATCACTTGGGGAATCGCACCCCCTATTGGCGTTATTTGGCAACAGTCTGGAAGGTACTGGATGGCTAGTGTCTATGCCACCAAGGGTCGACATCAGCCCCAGCTACACTCATGGTGTGAAACATTGTTCCCCAACAGCTGAAAGCTTTGGGGTCTCAGCCCAGATAGGCTCCTGAGGTGAGGTTCCACGAGGGTTCCGCCAGGGTTCCGCATGCCGAGCTTATCTTTGGGGGCCATTTTCTTTGATACCAAGGAAATAGATGGGCATACTCTTGAAAGTGAAGAAGTCATGAGGATAGCCTAGGCCGGCTTGAAGTCTATCGCAAAAAGGGCGTGTGCCACACATGTTCAACACTCGAAATTGTGGTTTTCAATGTGGTTTCCCCTTCAACACCAACCTTTTAAGCAACAAAAGATCCCTCAGAACGATTCTCAGAACGTTACCGAAGCTTGCCTGGGTGTGGGGGGCCCCAGGAGTCAATTTCAATGAATGCAGCAAGCAAAGTATTTGGATCATAGAGATCTGAGGCATAAGATGTGGATTTGTCGCAACACAAGAGGCGGTGTCCCTGAGTCCGCCGTTTAAATAGAATTCCAACCCTGCCACGGTCTATCTGACTCCTTTGGGGTTGGGGATGGTCCTGGCGAGATTTTTTTATTCTTGGCCACAAGCATAGTTGCCATAGGAGTTTTCGCCAGGCCTTCCCTCAGCTGGAGTTTTCCTGGCAGCCCTATGAGGACGGGAGGTTTGGAGCTACACCCGTGAGGTGTGCGGGACCGGAAGGCCCCAGAAGCCATATGAGCCCCACCAGATGGGTCAACTGGGTTCAACCAAGGGGTAAGTGAGCTTGAACTGGTTTGCTTTGGACATCATTTTGAATTTTGCGAGGTTGGTTCGAGGCTCCCCGAAAATGAGGAGCTTCTTTTGTCGGGGCGTGAGAATGAAGGGGTTTCCTACCACTTCTGTGATCGTTCGCTCCTCTACCCTGTCACCCACCGGGAAGTGCAGCAAAACCCTTAGGAGAGGAAGCTTGTCTTCCGAAAGGGTGTTGTGCACTTGGCGTTTTCTTGGGGAAAGTGAAGAGTTGGCAAAACCTTCAGAACCTTTGCAGAAATCGCTTTTTCGGGCCCGCGGGCTCCAGACTTCCGACAGCTTTATGGCGCGGTTGAAACAATCGCCTGCTGTGGATGGACAAAATCCACTTCGCACCGGGGACGGATGACTGGGCGAAACAACCGACCCACTGGCTGTGGTGCAGGATTTCGTCCATCCGTAGGACCAAAGATTTGGCAATGAGTTTCAATTCGGGACCCTTTGGAGCATTTTGGGGACTGATCCACCAAAACCTTTGAGGGGGTCCCTATTGAATTTTCATGGCCATTTCACAAGTTCTTGGCCCCAGAACATTCGAGTTGATTGGCACGGTAAGCGAAACCGGGACTGCGGAATAATTTATTGGGGCCTTCCCCCCAGTTGTCTTGGCTTTCAATCCCATGGCTGCAAACGGCAGAACACACTTCCCAATGTAGAAGCCGTCGCAAAACAGATCAAAAGACGCTGACACACTTCCAACAGATATCCTTTCCTTGCAAAAGAGGGTTAACAGTTCTCAAATCGAAGCGAGCTGCAACTGTTCCTATTTTCCAGTTAGGTGTCTGTTTTTTTAAACCTATGTTTGGCCTGTATTCAATCTGGACTGACTAGACGAAGTTATTCAAATGTGCCGTCTTCTTTCACCCTAATTTCTCTTTTCTCTCCCCTGTACCGGCAAGGGGATGGCTTCAAACAGGATTTTCTTGGCTTGGAACCTTAAAAAGTGGAAGCTTCAATGTGAAAACCACTCGGAGAAAGGTTGCAGGGGAAATCCAGTGGCGTGAAAAATAAGAACAGAAAGCTGCAAATGCAGGACCTGTGCCTGACGGAGTTTCTCCAACGGCTGTCCAAGTTCCGGACCGCGGAGGTGGGGTATGAGAAACCAACCTGAAGGGACTGGTCCCGAATTCTGAGAACAAGCTCAGGTGATATCCCCAACATGCGGTGCTCTTTTTAGTGCTCACCACCCCGCAGAACCTCGTGGAACCCTCGTGGAACCCTCGTGGAACCATGGTGGAACCATGGTGGAACCATGGTGGAACCCTCGTGGAAGCTTGCCTCAGGGCCGCCCCGGACCACCCCGGAGCCTATCTGAGCTGAGACCCCAAAGCTTTCAGCTGTTGGGAGAAAAAACACCAAAGCTCCAACATGGGAACAATGAACAGAAAGCAACATTTCGGGCCAGACCTTGCGGACACCTCCGATTGGGTCTGACATTTGACTTAGGCGCCGGCTTTGACCCACTGGCCTATCATTTGAGGGGTGACGGACGGGGCAGGTTGTCCCGTTGCCCCGTTTTCAGGTTCCTTTTGAATTGCCTTTGATGCATGGGGCCTGCCAAAAAAACAAGGCACACACACACACACACACACCCGGAAAGGCCGCAGCTTCCCTTGAGGCCAGCAGTTAGCAGGATTCACTGCCCGGCAAGTCCTCCAATGATAGAGCGTTGTGGCGGGTCTGCCAGAATCAGAATTCCCGGGCCAGTTTTGTTTGAACAATCAGACCCAATCCGACCTTGAAACTGAAACGCAAAAGGAGGTTTTGACAAAAGGTGCGGTGAACATGGGGCGTGTCTTAAAAGAGGGGCCCCCCAAAAATGGTGGTTTTCCCTGTTGGTTTCCCTTTCGCGCCTTTAAAGCAACCCCACAAAGGGTACCCTCAAAGAACCGCCTCATGCTTAAGCCGAGCCCGACATGTCTGGAGCCCAGGAGGTGGATCAGCTGGTCTCGCCGTTTGAGGCCTGGTGGTCTGTACGCGGAGCTGCTTTGGCAAGTGAACTAGGTCCCCCAGTAGTGCCCTTCTCTCCCCTTTTTTGGGGGAGGGTTCCCCTACTAGAATCGACTACAGAAAAAAAGGGTATCCTTATTCTAGCCTCTCTACTGGAGGACCTAATCAGAGTGGTTATTCATTTTCTTCCATTTGCCTAAACAGATTTTCCCCTGTTGGTTTTAAAGGGAACCTATCACTAGCGGACATATTATTCCTGTGGGCTTAAGCGAATGGAAATTATGGTATTATGCATTAAGGTTGGGTCAGTCAAATTACCGGTCTATGGCTCATTTGTTAGGGACAAGGGGGGAACTCGACATGACACAAGCCTTTCTATGACACAAGCCTTTCTAAAAAGAGACAGATCAGGTTTTTTGGGCCGCAGATCCCGCCAAGTTCCGCGAGCGTCCCATGCCCACTGGCCTCGCCTCAACAGCTACACCTGCTTGCACAGGAGAAACAATGTTGCTATATATGGATGTTGCGGATTCTGAAAGCCGACACGTGCGTGACTCCTTGCCATTTGCCGTCTTGTTTGCTCTGAGCATGATCTTCCAAGACCCCCCAGCCATTCGTGGAAATGGTGGCGCTTCCCAGTTGTCACGTTGTGATTTTTACTTGCCCTATGTGTGTCAAATGGAACCTAAAACGGAGCCCCAAAAGAACCAAGCTACGCCCCTTCTTGTTTTCCAGGTCTCCACCCCCGCCACCCCCCCCCCCGCCCACCCACCCCAACCCCTCCCAACTCCCCCCCCCCCCAACTCCCCCCAATCCCCCTACCCCAGCTTCCACCTTCCAGGTGGCGCGGTTCCTGCAGAGCCGGGGCCTTCTGAGCCCCGAGTTCCTGCGGGCCCTGTGCCAGTGGTCCCTGAAAGGCGCCCACCGCCCCAACGTGCGCGCGGAGCGCCGGCCCAGCACCCGCCAGCTTTTGCAGCTCCAGGACCTCTGCTTCGAGCGCCTGAGCTGAACTGGACGGATTTTTTTGTTTCCCCACCAACCAATTTCGAGGATCAAAGGAGCTTAACAAAGGACACGCAGGTGCACAGAAAATATGGATCATCTAGCAATCGGGTTTAAAGGAACAAATTATATGTGAGCAAGTGAGAGAATGTGTTACTGCGGAGAGGATGAGATGAGGGGCGGACCCTGTTTTCCAGGGCATGCCTCAAAATTGGTGGGGAGCCGCACTCTACATCCCTTTTCGCTTGGCTTCGCGTTTACCGCTTACAAGAACCACGGGCTCAAATCCCCAAACAACCAATCCAAACAGGCCCCTACAGCTTGTTCACATCGCGCGAATCAAAAGTAGCGAAAGCCCGCAGTTTCCGCACGTCGGCCACGCCGATCCCGGCAGGGTCACCGCGATGCCTTAAACGATCAACTTTAATTCATTTCGGAATCGCATTTCTCACATGCGAGCTTCTCGTGCCAGTGTGCTCGCTCAATTTGCCGCGCGACTTCTCTCGTGCGATTTTCTGCGTTGTTCTATCGTTAAAATTGCAGCATGTTCTGGCGCCGTGTAATTTGCTGAGCACTGTGTTTCGTGCCTTTTTGCATTTCATGCGCTCTCGTGCCACTTGCTTTGCGTGTGTTCTCGTGCATGCAAGTTGCTGCGCGAGTTCTCTCGTACAATTTGCTGCGCGTGCTAATTGTCGCACGCGTTCTCTCGTGCAGCTTGCTTTGCGTGTGCTTTCGTGCTACTTGCTGCGCGCATGCCCGCGCTCTACTTGCTCTGCACGTGCTTTCGCGCTGCTTGCTCTGCATCCTTGTCTGTTCTGCCTGTGCTCTCGCTCTACTTGCTCCGCACACGCTCCTGCGCCACTACTTGCTCCACTGGTGCTCTCGTGCTACTTGCTTGCTTTCGCGTTGCTTGTTTTGCATGTCCTCTTGTGCATCTTGCTCTGCGCGTAGTCTCGCCCTGCTCACTCTTCTCGCAGTATCGCGTTTATCTTGCTCTGCGTGTACTGTGTGCGGCTGCGCGGTAATCATCTTTTCCGGATGAACCCTTCGCAATGCTTTCCGGAAAAACCTATGAATCCTGGGACTACCAACTTGTGTGAAATGGTTTCGTCCATCCACTGTGTTGTACGATTCGAAAAGCCGACAACATGTGACCCAAAAGCACGAAGGGACTCACTAGGTTTCGCATGTCCTTTGGGGGCAACGAATTATTTTGACCGTGATTCATGTGGGCATGTCTTAGCATGCGCCCGCTGCCTCCCCCCCTCAAAAAAAAGAAGGACACAAATCAAAGACAAAAAAGAAGCTGTGCTTTTTTGCTTCGGCCTTTCTTTTGAATCCATCCCCCGAAAGGGTACCCCCCCAAGAAAGGCACATCCATGGGAGCCCCCAAGAGTGCGAGCGCCAGGCACGGCCTGGAAGAGGAGCCTGCCCTGCAGGATGCGATACAATACTTTGTGGAGTCCGCAGGACGGCAAAACACGGGGGTTACCCGTGATTTGTGTTTGTTCTTCTGGTTGCGCGTTTCGGTTTTCTGGAAGGAAGGGATGTTTGACACATCCAGCACTAGTCGCTCAAAGCAAAAGGAGCTTGTTGAAACAAGAATTCATTGCGCATGTGTCAACAATGTGGCGCAACCCTGAGGGGGGAAGTGGCATTCCATCTACGCCAAGCCGTTGAAGTACAAGAGGAGGCGTGCCTACATCCGCCGGGAGGATCCTCTTGATGGCCTTGAGCTGCCAGAGCTGCCTGAGCCGGTGTCAAGGCCGGGGTTGGTTCTAGGGGGAACTTCCCCATTCTTTCCAGGGATCCTTCTTTCTAGAAAACCATCAGAACCCCATTGGAAACAGCTGGTTTTTGAAAAGAACGATGGCTGAAAAGAATGGGGAATCAACCCCTAGATTGGTCTTCAACCCCCAAGAACATGCTGTTGTTGTCCCGGTCATCCGGTTTCGACATGTTTTGCCCGATCTTGGTCAAGGCCAAAGCAACTGGAGCAGCGGCCGGAGGATTTGGCGGCCCTGCCCTCAAGCCAGGAGGCACGTTTTTGGGGGTGACCGTATGGCAGCTTTCTGCACAGCTGAGTTTTTCTGATTCCTGCTTGTTCATGCATGCTTGGCTGAACCGCCACAACTATAGGTGTCCTTTTTAGGTTAGTGTGGAAAAAATAGAAGGCACTGGTTCAGATGGGTTTGATTGCATTTACCAGGGCCATCTATTTTGCCAAAAGGACACCTATGGCCACAACCTGCATCCAGCGCATCATGCAGCATGAAACCGCAGGACACACAGCTGGCGCCAGCGGAATCAGATTCGCCTTCACAGGCAGGGCAAGGGCCCGGTGATAGGTGATAAACGAGCTGCAAGCCCCAGGTTAGGCGGTCCGACGTGGGGTGGGAGGTCGGGCCCCCTTTGAAATCAGGCCTTTAAAGTGCATCAACAGATTTTGGGGGATGTCTTTGGGGTGTGTTTGGTGGCTTTGTGGTTCGGGGTGATGCCTTGGGGGACGTCTGCAGTTGTCTTGGGTCATGTCTTGAGGGATGACTTTGCTGTTGCTTTTTGCGGATATTTGTGGGTGTTTCTTCGGGGATGTCTTTGCGGTTGCCTTGGTCGATGTCCTTGGGGGTGACTGTTGGAGGGATGTCTTGACGATTTCTTGGGTGACGTCTTTCAGGGATGTCTTTGGGGATGTCTTCTGAGGGTGCCTTTGGGGATGTGTTTGGGGGGATGATTTTGGGGGATGTCTTTGTGATGTCTTCGGAGATGACTTTGGGGATGTCTTTGGAAGGGGTCTGTGGGGAAGTTTTGAGAGGTAGGTCCTTTGAAAGTGTCTGCGGGGGTTGTCTTTTCAGTTGTGATGTATTTGGGGATGTCCTTGGGATGTGTTTGTGGCTGCCTTAGAATTGTCAATGGGGGTGTCGTTGGCGGCATCGGTCTTCGCTTGAGGTTTGTCGTTGTGCGCATCTTCGGGGCATATTTCGGAAGATGTGTTGGAAGGTGTCTCACAAAATGCCGGTTGGGGATTTCTCTGGTGGATTGATTTTCTTCGGGGAGAACGTCGTGGTGGTGTTTCTTTGGATATATTTCTTTCGAACATGTCTTTGAACATCATATCTTCTGGGAATGACTTCTGCCGTGTCTTTAGAAACGTCTTGAGGATGTCTTGGGAGAAGTCTTTGGGCTTCTGATATGCTTTAGACATATCTTTTGGGGATACCGCAGATGTTTTACCTAGGGGTGCCACATGAAGCAAACGATGGCCCTGGGTTAACTCCTGAGCACTTGTCCAAGATCGAATCCTTGGAACTTGAAACTACAATAGGGCCTGAATGCTCAAAGGTAATGTGCTTATCCCGAAGCATTACAGCCGGTGTTTGACTCGATTTAAATCACCAGAGGGAGGAACCACCAGACAAAGCAGGATACCCTTTGTGGCGTGGGAGTGGTTCTACACCGACCGGGAAGTGAGTTGGGGGGTGGGGGGGTGGGGGGGCAGGTTGTGATGAAGGGTATTGGAAGTTTGGGGGGTAGGTTGTGATAACGGGTATTGGGAGTTTTAAGGACGTATGATTTGTGGTTAATGACTTCCGGGGTGTGAGCCTGTCGAAAATCACGCCCAGGAAACCAATGCGCTGGCATCTTTCGAAGACGAGGGTCCCAGAATAAAGCCCTCAGCACCATCGCCATTGCTGGAGAACGAGGCACCCGAAGTAGTTTTTGCGCCGGAGGATTAACCAAACCTCTAGTGGATTGATGGGGCTGCAACCCTTTTCAAAGGGCTTCCTTCACTTTTGGGAACCCCCGTCTTTATCCGCAACGTTGACTACTTCGTGGTCACGAGAAATTCATGTTTCTCTTTGACACAGGGTAGCGGGGTAGTAAACTGGAGGGGACGTGTGTGTGTGTGTGTGTGTGTGTGCTCGTGTTCGTCTGTGTGTGTGTGTGTGCGCGTGTTCGTCTGTGTGTGTGTGTGTGGGTGCGTGTGTGGGTGCGTGCGTGCGTGCGTGCGTGCGTGCGTGCGTGCGTGCGTGCGTGCGTGCGTGCGTGCGTGCGTGCGTGCGTGCGTGCGTGCGTGCGTGCGTGCGTGCGTGCGTGCGTGCGTGCGTGCGTGCGTGCGTGCGTGCGTGCGTGCGTGCGTGCGTGCGTGCGTGCGTGCGTGCGTGCGTGCGTGCGTGCGTGCGTGCGTGCGTGCGTGCGTGCGTGCGTGCGTGCGTGCGTGCGTGCGTGCGTGCGTGCGTGCGTGCGTGCGTGCGTGCGTGCGTGCGTGCGTGCGTGCGTGCGTGCGTGCGTGCGTGCGTGCGTGCGTGCGTGCGTGCGTGCGTGCGTGCGTGCGTGCGTGCGTGCGTGCGTGCGTGCGTGCGTGCGTGCGTGCGTGCGAGCGAGCGTGCGTGCGTGCGTGCGTGCGTGCGTGCGTGCGTGCGTGCGTGCGTGCGTGCGTGCGTGCGTGCGTGCGTGCGTGCGTGCGTGCGTGCGTGCGTGCGTGCGTGCGTGCGTGCTTTCGTGCGTGCGTGCGTGCGTGCGTGCGTGCGTGCGTGCGTGCGTGCGTGCGTGCGTGCGTGCGTGCGTGCGTGCGTGCGTGCGTGCGTGCGTGCGTGCGTGCGTGCGTGCGTGCGTGCGTGCGTGCGTAGGTGCGTGCGTGCGTGCGTGCG